AAATTTATTATCATATTATTATTTGAAGTATGATCAAATAGCATAGCAAAATAGAGCACTCTTTTCTCTATTAGACTATATAGAAAGAAAGTTTTTTTTAAGCTTACTATATGGCTATGTAGCGTCGTGATCAGAACTTTTGGTACACCCTAAGTATATGCCATCACATTGCTAATTATAAAAATTTTCCTTTCATTTTTTCTTCTGTTTGTATCGCCTATATTACAACTTGCTACGGAATGAAAACCATTGCTACTTTCTTTTACTTTCAGAAGTTTTTAACTGCACTAACAACATTATATGTTTCGATAGATAGATTGATATTTTTTCTTGTACAACAAAAACTCCCACTGATGTCATCGTTGAACGGTGTGTTTAACAATACTCATGGTCTTAAACAAAGTGAAATAGACGAAATCAATAAATCATTTCATCAATTTGATTTAAATAATAATGGTTATATAACTCGTGATGAACTGAAACAGTGTCTAAGAGGTGCCAATATAATTGCATTGGATGCTGTTGTTGAGTCCGTATTAAAGCATATGGATTAGAATCACGATGGTAGAATTAGTTACAGTGAATATATAAAATTTATGGCGACAATTTATCGTGGTGAACACCATGATTTGAAGCGACAGTTAGGTAATGCTAGTGATTATGTTGGGTCCGCTTCAGGATAATTGTATTAGGTATGATTGGCTGTACTCACCAGCATCTCTCGATTACAAAAATATGATATGACTTGATAACTTCAGTTCCATATATTTTTAATTTTTTCCTGACACTAATATACTTCTTGATTAACTTCATTTGTATAGCAGTGCATAAATGTCGAGTCTTTACGGATGTGGATGTATCAATCATGCCATGATCCAGAATTCCTGTCAAGTGAGACACTCGCCAGATTTTGCTAGTCGATTGTTTTGGTGTATCATAACTCCCGAGAAAGAAATATGTTTGAGTTATAAGTATATATCAATATTTCGCTCCATGGATTTTCTTGTTATATTTCCATCATTTTAGCACATCGTATGTCAGTAAATTGAATGGAATGCTAGCATTAGAAAAGCATTGTACCTACCTATAATAGAGAAAATGAATTGAAACATCATGTTTCATTAAGAGTTCTTTGTTCTAATGATATATTTTATCATACAATTGTTTTTATACACAAATATTCAAGAGAGAAGGAAGTGTCAAACACTTTCGACATGTTAGTTGTAAATAGTTTAGTGAATGATTCAACCAATTAGCTTTTTATGAGTTTCTTTTTTGTTTACTTGGTCGCGTTTTGGCACATATAAATTTGGACGCACTAGCTCTTTAGTGAGATTTCGAATGTTCCATACGCCAATTATGAGTTTTGTTGTTATCACTGGTGTTGCCCAATTGAGTCTTGTGATATTTTATGTATAGTTAATGTATAATAAGTGAGACATATTTTGTGTATAATGAATCACCAGCGAATTTAGTAAAATAGCGCATCAGTTTTTTTAATAGTTTTGATTTGACTAAAGGGATCACTTGTTGCCTTGGTATTGTTATAATCCATTTGACCTGTGATTCTGCAAGCTCATGCATATTCACTTGGTGTTGGCTGAGCTAATAGTTAACGACGTAGTAGCAGGAATTCGTTTTCATTATGAATCATTGGTAGAATAGATGTTGACGTAGCAGAAAATTTTCGAACAATTTCTTCAAGTGTTGATAAATATATCTTACTGAATAACTAGACACCAGAAATACGTCGATAAATGTTGCATACAATAATTTATACTATATCCATTATAGGGTAATATTGATTTGATAGTTCATCGTTCACGATTACTTTTTTTTAATGTTGATAAATAACGAAATGCTCGAAGAAGAGTACCTCTGATTATATTCTCAAATATGTGACACGGATGATCAGATTCGAATGGTACGACATCAGGCTCATCTGAGTTTTCATGATAGACTGATGTGATAAAGTTTCCGTGTTCATTGCTTATTTGAGCATCAAGAGAAGAAAGATAACTAACAATTTCATAAGTTATTTTAATATTCCAATGATATTCATCATTTTCTACATTTGACGAAATTTTTCAATGGAATCATTCAATATTAACAAAATATCATCAATACAGTTATGATAGAGAAAATGTGAAAGAGAAAACATGTGTTCAGACATTCCTTTAAAAAAATCAAATTAACGAATACACAATTCATTGGAAACTTTTTGATGTTTGATTAATTCTTGTTTCCAAAGCCACATAAATATATTAGCTAAGGCTAAAGTAAATGGTGATTCCATTGTATCATTGTTAATTTGTTGATAACATTTGTCATTATAGATAAAGACATTTTCAGTCAAGACAACATGAGCTAAACTTTCCATGTCATCATTTGTCATATCTTTAATATGTGTATGATTCAATTGAAGAACAACTTCTTTTTTAAAATAGCTATCGATTCTTCTTGTGGTAACATGATGTAGAGTTCGGTAATATCAAATGTACATAAATGAATGGTTGGTTTTAAAAAGCCTAGGCAAACATATTTTTCTAGTTTACGAATAAGATCAACACCATCGACAATTGTTGCTTGTTTAATATATTGATCAAATAATGGTCAAATTGATTGATCTAACATTTGTGATATTTTAGTTGTTAGTGCTTTTATACCTGAAACAAATAGGTCGCAATGAAATACTTTTCTAGCAGATGTGATATGATCTTAGTTAAGAAATAGGAAGTATTTTATACAAACACAAACAACAATTACTTTATATGGTTTTGGTTTAAAGTATAAATGACGTGAGGCAAACGTTACTAATATATTTACTGAAAGGAAAATATCTTGATAGAAATAATATTAAATAATCAGTTACAAGGTTTTGACTTCCATCAATCTATCTTTATTTAATATTTATGTCTATTTTCATAAGTCTAACATATTTTTATAAAATCGGTTGTGTTACAATGATAATAATAGTAGCAATATCCTCCTATGTTGTTAGTCTTCAAACTTCCATCTCTATCATACAATTATTCAGATAACTTGGTTAAACGATGTTTTGATTGACTTTAGCGTCGATGTCAAGGACAGTATCAAAGCATAGATGCGATGAATATTGACTTCGTGTAGGAAGTAAAGCATTTCGTAAACGTTTTGACATGAATTCATTGATTGATTGTATCGCTCTTGGTATCATATTTGCGTAGACATGCGTTAAGCTAAGCGAAAAGGATAAATAAATCTGAAAGAAGAGAGCTAATGTGGAAAATTTTGTCTACATATAGAATAACGTCGTCGGTTATTTTTTTTTTTACACATTTTTCAGATAATTTATCAAGATGAATTTGTGTCGTTCTAATATAATAATTACACTATGACTAAATTTACATTTATTCGTCAGTGATGCCGTTTTGGTTGATTGTTCAAAAGGTAAAAGCATTGTTTTAATAAAAAAACGTGAATTATGTTTTAGGTCGCGCAAACGACACTAAAGATGATCTATGACGGAGAATCCAGGTAACAGCTCGCTATGTTTGAAATCGCCGATTCATACTACACACGAAAGAAGCAATTTAGACCACGGTTAGAAGGTGAATAGTTCATAATAATTTGTTGTTTGCGTATGTCATTATATGAAGCAGTATCTAGAACAGGGGGGAGAAAGCATATTTCTAAGTATCTCTGTATTTTCGAAATCCCTAGAAATCCCTGGAAATACATAGAAATACGGAAATACAGAAATATGATTATCCCCCATAAGGATATCATTTGTTTACTTTGGCATTTTTCATAGGCCAAATAGAAAGAGCTAATATTTTGGATTTGTCTATAGTTTGACTAGACCTTTCATTGTAGATACATAAATCGAAAATCAAAATTTTGTTGGCGACCGATCCCAGATAAAGTTGTTAAGTGCTCTCACGAACCCTCTCTTAAGTATTCTTAAGTGTTTAATAGTAAAACTGCAAAGCTGAACCATAAATCATCTTTTTTTCATGTTTCTCATAGGAAAAGCAAATTGACACGCGATTACATGCATTTTAGACTTAATAGTGTCGTTACTAAGTTTCCGAGCACCGGGAACTGGAAACAGTCTTCTACTAGCATCTTACAATAAAATAGGTGTTCCCAGCGAAAACTTCATTATATTCGAATTTCGACGAAAAATTTAGAATCACCATGAAATTCCGCATCGCGTGATATAGTAATCAAAAGAATTTGAAAAAAACAATTTTTTCGATGGTCCTGAGGCCCGCTACAGGTGCAAAACTATGGGTAAAAAACTGAAGTCGTTTTTTGACAGAAAAAACTACCTCATTTTACTTAGAATTTAATGCCGATTTCGAACACGTAATTCTTTTTCGAAAATATTCTGGGCAAAAGAATTGTCTTATCAATACTTGTCGTTTACTTCATAAGGTCAGCATCGGAAGTGTTCAAGTAATTATTTTACATACTGTATGCGTCAATCATTATAACATAAATTAATTAAATTATATTTTTGCAGAGTCAGAAGAAATGAGCACAAGACTTTTTTCGAGATTCTCCGAACAAAATATTTTGGAAAAATCTGAAGTTAAGTAAGGAATAACGAGCTTCAGGTAACGGCAGTCTACACGATTGTAGTCAGCAGATACTGATTTCAAAATGACGTTACATACTGCTTAACCATCACTATGAAATATTCATATGATATAGCTTTGGAAACAATCCTATACAACAGGAAACACTGCACAAAGCGCAGCACGTTTTCTCCTGGGCTTCTTCACACCGCAAAGCATTATTGTTGTTCGATTTTACAAGAAGTGCGCAGAGACATATTCATTTCTGTTAAGAATTTATTAGATCATTTGGCTATTAATCAGTGAAATTTTTATCAATACGCTATGTAATTACCAGAGACAGAAAATAAGGTGAAGTCTGTACAAAGCTGTGCATATTGTCAATGTATTGGAATGAATTCGTGAGAGAAAGTATGTCATAACTGTTGTTCAATAATATATTGTCTATTCGAGTCACGGTTGGGAGAGGAAATTTACCGTTACTCGCGAGTTACGTTATCAGTTATCCAGAATCACGAGATAAGGGTAACGTCTAGTCACCAAGTCACGATAACGGGGTAACGGAAACCGGCAAGAGTGTGACTTGTACGTCACACTGTTGACTAATCACACTTGAGGGAGCTGTTTCTCAGCTATTGTGAGAACAAACATATTGTTGTTTGGATCATATGACAGAGAACTCCGGACAAACCCATGAACTGTTTGACATCAGCATGTTTTGTCCTTAGAATAATAGAAGAAAATTGTACTGCGATCTGATTGGTTGAGAGCTTTTTTATCAGCCAATCATATTTGAGGCAACTGTTTTTCAGCAATTGTAAAAACAGAACATACTGATGTTCGGGCCCATCAGAGATTATTTGTGGTCCTCTCTCACATGATCCGAACATCAATAGGTTTTGTCCTTACAATAGCTGAGAAACTGCTTCCTCGAGTGTGATTAGTCAATAGTGTGCTGTGCAGGTCGCACTCATTTTTGCAGATTTCCGTTACCACGTTATCAATTACTTAGTAACGGAATGGTAACTTTCCTTACCTACTTGTATCAACTATTAAGAACTTATTGAGTTGACGTAAAATGCACTTGAAGTACTTCATCGTGTCAAATCAGCATGCAGCGATTTAGCAGTCTTTTTCGCTGAAATTGCCGTCCGAATCAAGATAAGATTGCATGAAGCTACCAATAAATTTCTTGACAACAGTCAACCAACTGACGATACTAAAACTTCCGATGATCATCTATTCCTCTCTGAGGAGATCCAAACAGAATCTGTCGGTATTCAATGTAAACCGTGCATTCTTGCTCTGATGATACGAACGTGTGTTAATGTTTCGAAAAAAATATTTTCTACAACGCCTAGCAAGTCTTTAACTTATGCTAACAGCTTGTGATGATGCTACACAAAAGCAATTGTTAAACAAACTCACTACCGATTCAGAGCAGAGTCGTCACCCGATTAAGAGGCCACCCTCAGAATTGAATTATCACTTAGAACGGGCCGTTTGAACTGAAACTCTCAGGAATGAATAGTTCCAGTGAGAAACGCGTATGGTAAAACTTTCAGCATGATATACCTTACTAGACCGAACTTCTGGCCTGTTTTTATTAGCATTTTTGCGGACAAGGTATTCGAACCAAAGGAGGGAAGTTACCGTTATCAGTCAGTTACGTTACTGGTAACGAGGTAACGGAATGGTAAATTCTCTCCCCTAGTTAGAGATCAGCGGGGAGCGTTGCGCAATACTTCGTAATTCTCCTCATGCCTCCATAGCCGAGGGCGTACGGGGATCGCAGGGTATTGCGTGATACCCCCACTGATCTCTGCCAATAGTTCAAAATAAACATAGAAAATGTGGCTCCAAGATAGTAAATCCCGCTTTTCTCAGCCCACGAAATAAAGTATCAAAAATCTGTCCAATGAGAAGTTAACTCTGATTAAGACCTTTAAAACAAAAAGAAACATCGCTTATACCCTGAGCCAGGTGGAAGTTATTTCAATATTCCTGCCTCGAAATCATGTTTCGAGAAAAACGCTGATGAAATTGCAGAAAAGAATCTTTTTCATTCAAATCTCGAAAGCCCCATACTAGATTTGTATATTCATATGTGCCAGTGTAATTTTTTAAAGCACATAAAAAATAATTTAAAGTACAACTGTCGGTCATGTTTAATTAAATATAATAATTCATTCAATGTCGAAACAAATAAAAGAAAGTTTTCTCAAACTGAAAAACTTAAAAAAACAAGAAAATTCGCGAAAAAAACATGATGGGGAGTCGAAATTAGTTGCGAAAGTCTGTTAAAATTTGTTCCTTTTTCAAAAAGGAATATATATTCTGAAAGTGAAAATTTTGCTGCATCTTCCTATCGTATAAATTTAACTTCGAGCTTTTCAGAAAAATTGGATTTTGTGAGAGGCACCCCTAAAGCATTGGCTAAAGAACGAAAGAGAATCTACTACGAAAACAATCGCCAAAATCATTAAATAGCTGAGCAAAAAAATCATAGATCCCAGCAGAGCAAATAATGATGTAAACTCCCACCGAATAAAAGGTCATGGCCTTTTATTATGGAAATTCGCATTGCTTCTACAAAGGTGGCCTTCTCTTGTGGACTATTTTCTACTAGGATTTGCCTAGAAAATGAAGGGGTTTTGAAAAAATTTTCTGGTGCTCAAAAAGGCACTTTTCACAGCCAATGCCGTAAAACCAGTTTTTTTACTAGAAAAAAAGTAATTTTAACTAAAAAACCTAGTTTTTTTTCCCTAAAAACCGAAATTTTAAGTACAAAAATCTAAAACCCACTGGATTTCTAAGAAAGCTTCTACAAACC